CCATGAATGTGAAGTTGGGACTGTCTGTGCTGAGTCTGCTCTCCTTCTCCTTCCTTGCGAAAGCTAGCTCTCAGGTCCCACTGGAATTTCGTTTTGACCAATACGATGCAAGCTTGTTTTCTCCTTATGAAGACCTGAGCTCGTTGTCTGCCTTGGAATACACGACTTTGGGACACCCAGCCTTCCCGAAGTATCAGGTTAGATTGAAACAGTCGAAAGAATTCTGTGACGGGACAGTGAAGTACGTATCCGTATCCATTCTCTATTCATGAAGCACAGGTGAATTCATTTCCGTAATACTTGTAGTGCGTATACAGGTTACATAGATATCGAAGCCCGTCATTTGTTCTTCTACTTTTTTGAAAGCAGAAGCAATCCTGACCAGGACGATGTTATCTTCTGGACAAACGGAGGGCCCGGTTGTTCGTCTTCAGTTGGTTTATTCATGGAACACGGTCAGTTACTTGCTTTGCCTCGCATCGTGCACTTATTTTCATTCCTTTGCTTGCAGGACCTTGTCTCGTCACGGGAGTTAACGTGACAACTTTCAATCCCTACGGATGGAATGCAAACGCTAATATCTTCTTCATTGATCAACCAATTGGTGTTGGCTTCTCCTACGCAGAGTATGGTGAATATGTGGTACGCTTCAATACCTTTCTCTCTCGTATTTCAGCGTCATCATTTGCATATCTATATAGAGCACAACAGAAGAGGCTGCAAAGGATATCTCATCCTTCATTGCGATATTCTTTGAACACTTCACCAAGTTCAAGGGTAGAGCTTTCCATATGGCTGGTGAATCTTACGGAGTAAATTTCTCTGTCTTTGTGCAATTATATTTCAACGTTAAATTATATATACTCAGGGCCGATATATCCCAGCATTCGCCGCAGCCGTCTACGACCAAAACGTCCATCTAAAACAGGCTGGGATGACTCCGATAAACTTAACTTCTATCATGATCGGTACGTTTGAGTCTTTCTCATATAGTAAGATATACCTGAAGGGTTTCTTGATCAATAGGTAACGGGTGCTCGGATGATTACACTATGACCCCTACTTATTACCAGATGCAATGCGAGCCGATTTCCGTTCCACCTATATTGGACATTGCGTTTGTCATCTCCCCTCATATTTCACATATCACGGATAATAGCTAATGATATTCGCAGCACTTGCGTCCAAATGAAGAGAATGGTAGGTCGAACTCCATCTCAGCCACTAATCAAATTGTGTCTTAGTTCATGCTATCTTCGCAGCTTCCCAGGTGTGAAAAACGACTTCAAGAATCCTGCATCGATACCTTCGATACTATTGACTGCGATGCGGCGATGAATTTCTGTAATTCTGCAGTATTAGATCCTTTCTGGTCATCAGGTAGGCATATTTTTGCACTCTTACGGGGCGTGACCTCATCATCCTCCCATTGCGCAGGATATAATCCGTACGATATCAGCAAGCTCTGGTGGGTAACGCCTCAAGTTTTTCTCCTCTTGTAACTCAAACGATTATGATTGTGGCGTTCCCAGTGACGGTTCAGTCTCGGACTCGTTATGCTACCCGATCACAAAGTACGCCTTGCTTCTCATTCTTACATTTATTCCTTTCATTTACCTTGTGAACCTTAGGACAATTAGCTCGTATCTATCTCGACCTCACTTCCAAAAAGCTCTTGGTGTTGATACAGCCGCCCAAGGAAATTTCAGCTCTTGCTCTGACAAAGTTGGAATAGACTTTGCAACGCATCTAGATTGGGCTTTCCCTACGCCTTTTTACATCGGTGCTTTGTTGGATAGAGGTGTCAGAGTTTTACTCTACGTGGGTGCTAACGATTGGATATGCAATTGGGTAGGTATCCTTTTGCGGTTGTCCGTGTTCGTTGATGCTTACTTCTCCTTCGTCAACAAGCTTGGAAACGAGCGCATGTCATTTGCCATTGAATGGAATGGGCAGAAGGATTTCAACTCACAGGCGCTGAGGGAGTGGAAGGTTGGGGAGGATGTTGCTGGACTGACACGAAAGGCTGGAGGATTATCGTTCGCTACAATTTACGGCGCCGGACATATGGTATGTGTTTATGTCAACTGGTCTTAAAAACATTCATATGCATGAAAACTTTGTTTCGACAGGTGCCATACGATCAGCCGAAGTTTGCTTTGGCGATGGTGCAGAAGTGGTTAGCTGAGGAAGATTTCTGAATGGGTTTCTCTCCCTGAAGCTCCAAATCTCAATGTCTCAACTCGGACATTCATTTGCGTTTTCGATATCTGACAACTTTGCTATGTTATGATTCATCAGAGTCCTACAATCATCCCGAGTGCAACAGCTTGCAAGTCAGATGACGACTGAAGAACAACTATATACGCAAATGCCGCAGCTACATCAAATCGCAGTTCGAAGGTCTCTCATAGACAGTGTAGAATAGCAAGACGCCCTATGAATCAAGGAAAACCCCAGGGAACCGCTTTGCTTTGATCTCATATTGATCGCAGCTTGGAAAGTGCCTGTTCATGTGCTCAATATATGATGAGGCGGAGTATATGAGCATATAACTTTCACTCGCAATCCCTAGATCCCCCAGTTACACTCACCTGCAGGATGTTGAGTTCCTATTTAGCTTTGGGATTGTTCACTGCTACTGCCTTCAGGCACACGCAAGCCATTGGTCAAACCCCTCTAGATTTCGGATTGAAATCTGAATCATATGATGATTCGAACTTGTTCTCACCTTTCGAGGACTTGGCTGCGTTGTCGAGCACGGAATTTACAACTTTAGGTCATCCCGTATTTCCCAACTACCAAGTGAGATTGAAGAAATCTAAATTCTGCGATGGTGGTGTGGAGTGAGTTTTCTCTCTGACTTTCTAGCTAACCAATCATTATATGTTGAAATAATGATTCTGCCTTTCTTGTTGATAGTGCGTATACGGGATACATAGATATCGAAGCTCGACATTTGTTTTTCTACTTTTTCGAAAGTAGAGATGACCCGGACAAGGACGATGTCATCTTTTGGACTAATGGTGGTCCCGGTGGCTCATCTTCCTTTGGTCTCCTAATGGAACAGGGTAAGAACCCAAACTCATCTCGAGAAAACAATCAGTCAAGAGGAGACTCTAACGGGGAGCTATTACAGGTCCCTGCTTGGTCACTTCAGCGAACACGACGAAGTATAATCCTTTCAGCTGGAATAGTAAAGCAAATATGTTTTTCATTGATCAACCAATCGGTGTCGGATTTTCGTACGCAGATTATGGCGAATATGTTGTAAGTAAATCGGGATGTAATATCGTGTAGCTTGTTAATAGCTCACTATTCTTACTGAAAACAGAGCACAACTGAAGAAGCTGCGAAAGATATTGCTTCCTTCGTAGCTATTTTCTTTGAACATTTTTCAAAGTTCAAAGGAAGACCTTTCCATATGTCCGGTGAATCTTATGGCGTGCGTTTTGAACTTGTTTAGTCATGCCATAATTCACGAGTATTGACATTCTTACCTTTTACAAGGGTCGATACATACCTTCCTTCGCTGCAGCTGTATATGACCAGAATGCGCGATTAACACAAGCAGGTTTGACACCGATTAATCTCAGCTCAATCATGATAGGTATGATTTTTTTCTACAGAAAGGTATGAAAGATATACCAACTAAAATGATTTGTTTATTAGGAAACGGCATGTCAGACTTACGATCACTCACACTCTCTTACTATGAAATGCAATGTCAGTCGACTCGGACATCACAACCTATCTTAGACATCGCGTATGTCTTTCAATTTGCTTATAGCTCTTCCCCTTGCTCACGGAAAGATAATACCATATAGAACTTGTGTTCAAATGAAAAGGATTGTGCGTCGTTCCACCCGTAACGACGATACATATGACTGAAATTGATTCAGCTTCCCCGTTGCGAGAAAATGTTCACAGCATCCTGTATCGATACTCTCGACGCTATCGACTGCGCATCGGCACTATCATTCTGCGAATCTGCAATCGTAGAGCCATTCTTTGAAACAGGTATTTTCTATCTCAGGTTTGCCTTTCACGCATCTTGATACTTCATGCAATATAGGATACAATCCATATGACATATCCAAGAAATGGTGAGCCTCTCTATCTTCTCTATACATGCTTTAACATTTTTCGTAACAACTTGACTCGCAGCGAAGGCGAATACCAAGATACGATATGTTATCCAATCGCAAAGTTTGTCTTCACTCTAAAAGCAACGACTTAACATCTCATTTCTAAACCACAGAACAATTGAAGCATATCTCAGTCAACGAAAGCTTCAACAAGCTCTTGGAGTCGACGCAAAAGTCTCAGGGAACTTTAGTGGTATATCCTACAAAGTCAATTCGGACTTTTCAAATCCCTTTGAACGTGTTTTTCCGACCACGATATATATCTCTGCTCTCCTTGAACGTGGTGTCAAGGTTTTAATTTATGTTGGTACCAACGATTGGATCTGTAATTGGGTGAGTGAATCGAGGATTTCGCAGCATATCAAGGCTTATTAAAAGCACCGTTCTCTGTAGATCGGGAATGAACGTATGACCTTGAGCTTGGAATGGACAGGAAAGGAAGCTTTCAACGCTGAACCATTGAAAGAATGGAAAATTGACGAGAAAGTAGCGGGGATGACTCGTAGTTTTGGTAATCTTTCTTTTGTGACGATTTTGGGTGCCGGGCATATGGTGCGTATTGATCAGATATCTATCATGTTTGTTCACAGTATTCAATTTTTCGGTTAGGTACCGTATGACCAGCCCGAAGTTTCTCTGGAAGTTCTGAAGAGGTGGTTATCTAGTGGCAAGTTCTGAAATGAAGAAGACTCGATGTCAGGAACGTAAAGAAACTCTGTTGTGCTTCAATGAAACATTTTACGGTTTTCTCTTCCTTCATGGGATACATGCTTCAGTTTTATAGCGAACTGTTGGAGCTCTATGGTCAAAATTTTAATGAATTGGACCAAAACAGCTCTTCTGTGTCAGCTATGCACTAAGGGGGAATTGAACCCCCGGCGGGTCGATCTTGCACTGTGTGGCAACGACCCAGGTTACCACTACCCCATTAGTGCCGTGATCTTACTTCTGACCAAATTTGTCATCTTCTGATATTCTCTTTCTTTGCAGCACCTTCGGAGGAGGCGTAGGTTGGGCGTAGGCTTGAGTAGGCTTGACCTGGTGAAAATGACCTTACAATGCTTCACTCGAATATAAAGGCGACCTGGTCTTGAAACATGCTCACACTACCTCTCCACTGACACACCTATAGCTGGTGCTAAACTCGTTCTGTTTCATACTATAAACACATGGAAGTTACACTCTCCTCAAATTCACCTATAAACGTTAACACCATCCTATCAGACAGCGAAGGCAAACCACTCTACCAGATTCAAACTCCAGGGGGTCCATGGTCTCCGAAAACCACATCAGGAGAAAAGGTGAGACAATAAGTGGCTTTATATTGACATTATATTCCCACATGTCATGATAATATGACCAAAGTTTGTGCACCGAATACAGTCCCATGTCCCTCTACCAACTGCATAATCCATTATAAAGTAGCCAAAAAGTTTTCTCGGTTTATATTTTATTATCATTTTTGTATCGTGAACAAGTGTTTCGTTGATTTTCAATCCAGAAAAGAGCTTTGAAAATACTATCGCCGTATACTATTCTATAGTTGATAATATTACCTACGTTTCTAGAAGCGCTGGAATAACGAATTTGTTCAATCACTCAACTGTTTTTGATATAGGACTCTTTTGAAAATTCGTATAAATGATGTCAAAAAATATTACAATGTTATTCTGTCGTGGATATGGATAATGATCGATCTAAAGAACATTACAGGTATATCGATTGCTGTGATTAAAGTCCGAATCCATAAGTTATCATTACGGACTTCACGAAAGGGAGAATGCAAAAAGGACACGTCAATGAGTGGGGGAAAGAGAAGAGAAAGTTACTGTGAAAACTCATAATGCGATGAGGGAGAGATGTATGAAATGCAGCTTAGCTTGCAAGTCATGTTAAAATTACTCGTTGATATAGTGACGAGAGAAGAGATCATTTTGAATCCAAATGACCTGTATAAATGTTAGGTAAACAAAAGGAAAACCATAGAGATGGTGAAATGATGAACACACCTTGCCAATGGCGGAAATAGCGTCCGACTTCACTTGTATTGGGAGAACATCCTCGGGGACTTGGAGGATAGCACTGTTCAGGATGTTTTGTACTAAACCTAACGTGATAGCGCAGTCCCGGTCTGGAAGGAAGGAAACGATGAGCTTTCAACGTGAGAACTAGAAAAGACATGCAAAACGTACAAGGAACGTTCAAAGGCTTAATGCCCATCGTCTTTTGGTGCCTATAAGTAAAGAAATGAACATCACTTATTCGCGAAGTAGGAAGGCAGAAGGTGGTACTTACTTGAATGGTGAAACACCGGTATGCATAATTCCAACCTTATCCATATAAGCCCATGTCTTTCCGGCCGTATAATCAGATGTGAGCACCCGTCGCGCCCACACTTTCATGAACACCTGGACAGATGGTCAGACACTCAAGCATTCATCGAGATGGGAGTATTCCACAATACCTTTCTGAAGGTGATTTGAGGACTATCTAATGTTAAATCTTCTAGTCTAGAAGGAAGTGGACCATCGAATCCCTGTCAGAATCAAATCGTCAGAAACCTGTTCGAACCAATATGAAGGGAGTGAACGTACCTGATTCCGGGTCATGAAAACCTTCTTGGTAATATCGAACTCGAACAATTTCGCGTACATAGAGTCGACAAGCTCCGGAATTATAGCAGTAACATGGGGAGCAACTTTTTTAATGATATCGGTATCATGAGAGCTGAAGTTAATGAAATCTGTAAGGTATGCTATCCGATCCTCCAGCGAGTTCTTGATAAGTATAGGATCGACCTCTTGGGTGAAGATTACAGGACATTTGCCAGCCATGTTGTGATCTTGTGAAGTAGGTTGTGTAGCGGTAGTCGCGGTCTCGACAGAATAAAGGGAGTCAACTTCTGGAGTTGTTCTCGATGAGCCGGAGTAAGGACAAGTAATCTTTTCTGTAGAGTACTGAGAGGTCATTATATATAAGTCGGATAACGAGGGAAGGAGGAGTCTGAGGTGAAGACAAGTCCTCCGGTAATCGAGATGGTGTAGTGGAAGAGTTAATTCCGAAGGCAACGATCTTTATGGGACCGTGGTTTGGTGTGCAATACGGAAGATACAGGAAGATGATATTAAATTCGTGACTGGGCTTGCTGCCCAGACCGCTGCGTATCGTAACAATCATTTTGTGTCTTGAGCCTGGACGAGACGGTGAACGGTTACCCTGCGCTCAATTGGTCTCGGCTTGCCGACTTGACAGAATCTCCAGACGCTGAGTTACGGAGGGTGTCGTCGTGTGAGAGAATGGCGTGAAAACAGACGGCTTCTCGATGTCGAACAACGGTGATATTCTGGATTTGTTGACTGCAGCATCATTACCACCGACTCTTCGGGGACAGTGGTAAGTATCGCATTACGTAGATTGCTTAGAACTGCCCGTCTGTCAATTGGCTTGACGACAGTATGGATCTGAAACTAGTCGAGGCCCTCGGTACACAATTTGCAATCTTGATTTCTTGTATTTGATCAAGATCAGGGACATTTGTGTATCCCCACATGTTTAAATAAAAACACACCGAGTTTCAGGGCAAAAAAAAAGTGTTGCCGAACAGAGAGGAATTGAAGCAGAGAGCGGAGTACTATCGTCTTGTCTCAGCGTAGAGTTATGTGTAAGATATTGCAACAAAAAGTGGTATAAAGATATGAAAATCCGTGAAATTGCTGAAGTAACACATGCGATTGGTAGGTCCGAGAAAGAGTGAACGTCACAAAGTTACAGTATTGTTAGAGTCGAGCGTCCCTGACCCAGAGCTTGCGGAGTTTGAAATGGATCGGCAACTTCAGAATTTAATAAAATGGTGTGACAAAGGTTCATCTTCAAATTCGTCAAATTCAGCATACCTTCGTGGCGAACGCCTACGCTAGGACTTTACAATCGAAATTACACAGGCCACCTCACCGTCATTGCTACGCTCATGATGCATCGTCCCGTATAAGTAGATCCTTTTGAAAAAAAATGTATGTAATTGCTTCTAGTACCGTACCCCCAACGTTCCACATTCTTGTTGATCATACTTATGTACTGAGTACAGTAAATACGCCCAAGGTCTCGCCACTGATTTGACGATGCCAGGAACACGGTTATTCGGGTGTTGTTTTTAACCATGCGATAAAAATGGAGGAACCACAACTCCCCCAGGACCAAGGCGAGGTATCAAATGAATGCATCAACTCCTGCATTTCTCGGTTCTGTTCCTTGGCGATGCAACTGACATCGACGATTTTCCCATATGGGATAGTATAGATTCATGTGGAAGTATACGCAAGGTTTTTGTGGCGTGGTGGTATTCCGAGAATAAAAGGGTGAGTCTCCGAACTCTTTTCCAAAACCGCCACTGATACATCCCGCGACAAGTATCAATTCTCTCAAATATTTACCACCTCTTCAAACCCTTTCATATTCAACCTTGAGAGTCGTATAGAGGCTCTGAACTTTGCCATTTTATTCAAGAGACTCAGAAATGAATGTGGAAAGACTCTTGCAGAACGGTTCGATGAGGTGAAAGACACATTTGTGGATCGACATTTCGGAAATGCGAGTACTATGATGAGCTTGATCGGACTCGCCGTGGTCAACTGGAAGCGACTCTACGGAAATCTGGGAGGCCAGATCTTATGCAAGCTGTGGAGAGCGTGCTTAGGAAAGAGAGGAGACGGTGATGGAGAGCCAAACGAGAAACTTAGAAGAATTTGAAGGACTCGGAAGAGTACAGCGTAACCGAGACTTAAGTAAAAAAACTTCTGTCACATACATGCGTACTTTCACTCAATGCTTTTCACGGCGCGAGAAAGGTACTCAACACAGAAAGCATCACTAACTTCCCCTCTGCAAGCGAACATACGAAGCTGAGAATAACATGATCTGCACGAGCGGGATCTCCAACAAAATTCAAGCGTCCGTATAAGTTCTAACGTTTATTATTACATCGGCGTGAGCATACTAGGGTGCCAATCTCCCGTTAACCTCCATTTTCTTGCCGTCCTTGTCTCCAGACATTTCATTTCATCCAGAACTTGTTAATACAAGACTATAATGCCCTCTGTTGTACTTGTTGCATCCTCAACAATCGAGACGCCATGAACGAAGTTTGCTTACATAAGTCTCACTTGAACTTTGAAATTTGAAATTTGAACGCCGACTTTTCGAGCGTTTAGTTGTCTTTGACCTCGGAACACGGTTAAACGTTAACTCGTTACTTAACATCGGTCTTCGAATTCCTCAAGTCTTCATTGCATTGAAAGTGAGTTTACCTCCGCTAAATCGACGTTTTTACTTAATTCAAACCAGCATTCAAATATTATTCATGTCTTTCCATACCCAAAATAACATTTTTGCTTGTTGAGGATAGACACCTCATTCAATTCATCGTTGTTCTCTTGATTTTCAATGGTTCATGACAGAACAATATTTTACTCATGCATTCAAATAACAGTAATTACTCCTAGGTTTCATCAGTGCTTTAGAGGATTGGCCCGCTAACGACTGCGTAGTGTCGGAAGGGTTTTTCTATATGGAGAGTAAGGAAGGCTCGCAAATAAACTATATATCCAAGACCGAATGACAATTGTTGAACAGTTTCAATTCCACTTACGCCGAAGACGAACATCACGTTTACTAGAAGATACAAAGATGATACACGCAAGATAAGACCGCATCATCGTATTCTACGGTAATAGCTTTTGTGGCTCCCTTCTCCTAACATCACTACCGGTGCTAATGGCGTACCATTTTAGCTTCACCGTGATTTCGATTTCAACCCAATGAAATTCGATGTCGTAAATCCGTAAACAATTAAAGATGTGAGCTCTAATGGAAGAATCATTGCTTCCCAAAAAAATCTCATGTTTCCAGGAAACAGAAAAAAAAACTTCGAAAGGTGTAA